CTCTGCATGGGCATTGCGGAGCTTGATGGGGGCATGAACTCACGAACTGTGAGATCATGACCTGAGCCAAAATCAAGAGTCAGACACTAGCACTTAACTGACTGAGCCACCCAGGTGTCACTAGACTCAAGATACGTCAAAGAAAGCTGATGAACTGATTTTAATTCCTTATATCTGGAATTGAAGAAGTACAGAAAAGAGGTCGGGGCAGTATTAGGTATTAGTATTAGTATTAATATTTAATTTTCTTCTTAACTGGCTATTCTCCTATGATATTAAAATCAGGGCCTTTTGGAAATCCTGTTAATATTACGTAAAGAAACCCTACAAAAGCAGAGTATCAAGTCTCAGTGCACTAAAGGTAGTAAATATTGGCTGAGTAAACTAATAAACGAAATGCATGAGCTTGTGAACAAATGAAGTGAAATGGATATAGAGCGCGAAGGTGTTTTCCAGGCTTGTGGAATTAACCAAGAAGCTAAGAAACATTAAAAAAATAAATCTTGGGGGGCCTGGGGGGCTCAGTGGGTTAAGCATCCCACTTCGGCTCAGGTCATGATCTCACTGTTTGTGGGTTCAAGTCCCACATCGGGCTTTGGGCTGACAGCTCAGATTCAGAGCCTGCTTCAGATTATGTCTCCCTCTCTCTCTGCTCCTCCCCCACTCACACTCTGTCTCTCTCTCACAAGAATAAATAAAACATTTAAAACAAAGTTAAAAAAAATAAATCTAGGGGCACCTGGGTGGCTCAGTCGGTTAAGCATCCAACTTCAGCTCAGGTCATGATCTCACGGTTCATGGGTTCAAGCCCCCTGCTTCAGATCCTGTGTGCCCCCTCTCTCTGCCCCTCCCTTGCTCATGCTCTCTCTTTCTCTCTCACTCTTTCAAAAATAAATAAACATTTAAAAATAAATAAAGAAATATAAATAGCACAATCTCCACAAAAAAGGATGTGGATTGTGGGGTTTTCTTTTTCTGTTTCCATGTACAACCCAAAAAACTAGGCCCTGCTGATATACTCCATTGTCCTGCATCTATCCTTGATGCTCTGCCTGTCTTGTCAATAGCTGTTGGTAATTCTCTGTATTCTCTGGCTGCAGGATCTTTGTGCTGGCACCTCTTGATGGTGGGAAATAAACATTTATTTTACAGAGTCAACAAACAAACAAACAAACAAACACCTCTGGAGCAACGACAAAGAAAGCATTGTGATCTAGTTGCAGAACATTGCTGCTAGGGACTAATTAAAGAAAAGAATCCAAAGCCTATCTGGCTCTAAAATCTGTACTCTTTCTGCCATCTTCTAATTGCCTCTCCCACCCTACATCCCAAATATCCAAGGTACTATAGATGTTTGTGCTCAGAGTTGGTTCTCTCTAGCAACAGAATGTAATCAGGGGTGGAATAGGGTGGGAGTAGAGGTGGGAGTCACTTACCACACTAACTCACTAGCTAGATGCTGCCTTCTGGCTGTCAGTCTGGGACTGACATGAACTCAAACTGTGAACTACTTGACTCTTATGATGAGGCAGGGTTGACTCAGTAGAGGGAAAAAAAAAATCTCCAATTCAACAGGGAGTGAGCATCCCAATAGCAAAGGCAATTTTTTTGAGGAAGACTGGCCCATTTCTACACTTGCAGTCCAAGGGCTGGCCTCAGCTGAACCCCTGGGTTGACATATATGGGCACTACTGGCCTTTGTTTGCAAAGGTGCTGCTTCCTGATGCCGGATCACGCGTGTAAGTGACTGAAATGGCTGATGAGGGACCTGCGATCTGTTCCACGTAAAGCCTACACTTTGGTTAGTGGTAATGACAGAATGAAACATAACCATCATTCTTTTACATGCCACCTTCTATGTTCACAGCCACCTTTTGCCTGTGCACAGAAAGTTGTAAAGCTCTATGTCATATTGCTGTGCCTGCAGCTGATATGAGAGATGGAGTCAGGAAGAGAGGGAAGTGAAGGAGTCATGGGAAGAAAGATGGATGGGAGAAATGATGCTCAATTTACTCCTCACACCAGCACCCATGGATACAACTTCTGAAGGCACACTTAGCACTTGGGTAATGGCTTCATCACAATGACGTACTTTGGGTTGTTTTTCCCAGATCTGATCTTGCACCTCTCATCTTGCACAGTTCTGTCTACTTTCTCTCATCCTTCTTTGTGACCAAGATCATGGTTCAGCAAAATAACTGACTACAGAGAAAACTTGAACTATTCATACAAGAACAAACCCATGGCTTCAGCCACAATAACGAACTGATTTAACAAGACATGGGAAAATATTTGCGAACCAAAGTCCAATGTAGACGTCAATGGGTACATCTCAGGGTGCTAGGTACTACAGAAAATCAAATGATGCCTGAATCATCCCAACACATAGTTTTTGGTCAGAGTTTGTCCCCAAGTCTTTCTTCACTGCACCAGATTGACTCTCAATAAGAACTAATTTCTATATGGTGATCCCGAAAACCTAGCTTTGCCACATTAACTGTGTGACCTTGGGGAAATTACTTAATCTCTCAGCCTATTTTCTCGTAAGTAAAATGAGCATAATGGTAATACCCACCTCTTAGAGATGTTATGAAGAATTAATGATAAAATCAATGTCAAGTGCTTATCACAACGCCCAGCCCATGATAGTGTTTAGTAAATGTTGGCAATGATCTTTTCATAATTTCCATTCCTCTTGTTTTCCTTTGCTTCCTTCAATCTGATGAAAATAATGAATAACTGCACCAAACTGCATACATTTTGGATCCCTTCCCCCTTATTTTGTAGAGTACCTATATTCCCAAGAAATTACAAGGCCCCTTTTAAGCTGAATTATCTCACCTACTAGCATTTCTGCTGTGTCTCTAGAGAAATTTGTCCTGTCCAAATTGCACTGAAGTTTCTTCCTTGAATGTGACCAATCCTCAAAGGACTTGACACTTTTGAAGTTTTTCTTCTCTTTCCCTTGCAAAGTCAATAAAGTACAGCTGACCAGTACTGCAACTCCTCAAATGATTCACTCCAGATGAAATGACTTGCCTGTGACTTGACATTTCATTCTAAACAGCTTTTGACAGTGAGAGAACAAGAGACCCAGAGCAAAAAGTGCTAGGATTGGCCACCAAGCTGCTACTAGCTCCAAAAGCAGGACAGGAAGCGCCCACAGCCCGTTGCCATGTCATCTCCGGGGAAACAGTCATTTGACCCAACACTAGAGCAGAGTTTGCAATGGTAATGCTCTAAGCAGATGTTTGGAGAAGACATGAGTTTTCTTAGATATGGTGTGATCAATATAATAATGGTCTGTGCCTTTAACCTTCTATATCAAGAGAGGGGCAATGATCTGTATGGAAGTCACTTTGCCTCATATCAAGGACATAGTACTGGTTGGAGACCCTGAGAAAGCGTCCAAATATTCTACCACAAATTGGAATTTTCTTACCCTTTAAGGAGTTTTTAAGATTTTATGATAAGGCACATTTTCTAATAAGAGAGGTTCGGAAAATTCTTCTCTCTAATGACAGTGTTTTCAATTTTGAAATAGATAACTCAAGGCGGACAGATTCATGTGCTGAGTATACACCTGTAACCTACTTCTCCATCACTTCCTCCCCAAATCTGAATATTTTCAGGGAGGCTGGGCTCTCCCAGATGGCACCTAGACACTGATCTATAACCCGAGTATTGAGAAACCAGGGTTCTTGGCCCATTTAAGAGCAATGTGGGCAGCAGGGGAGGCCACCACTGGGGATACTGTGACCACGACAGTTATACATTCACAAGATGGCAAACTGTAATTTATAACTGTAATTTATCAACTGCTTTCTAAATAAAATATTGAGACACCTGTTGATAGGAATTAGGTTAACAGGAAGTTAATCACTTAACCTGTGGACTGATAAGTATATTTTACAAAGAGAATGTCGTTAACTTGAGTTTCTGTTTACTTGAAAACCAAATCTAGTTGAAGAAGAATAAAAAATAAGCTTGGAATCTTTCTATGCCTTCCCAAAGATCTCACAGTTGCCAGACATTATTTGATCAAGTAAGAGATTAGGGAGAAAAGACTGTAATAATGAATGAATGAATGAATGAATAATAAAGTAATCACTTTTTGATCTTTATATAAAATAGCCATGAGAATATCCGGGGAGTATTCCATTCAAGGCAACATAAAAAAATTAGCTCCTGGGGCGCCTGGGTGGCGCAGTCGGTTAAGCGTCCGACTTCAGCCAGGTCACGATCTCGCGGTCCGTGAGTTCGAGCCCCGCGTCAGGCTCTGGGCTGATGGCTCGGAGCCTGGAGCCTGTTTCCGATTCTGTGTCTCCCTCTCTCTGCCCCTCCCCCGTTCATGCTCTGTCTCTCTCTGTCCCAAAAATAAATAAACGTTGAAAAAAAAAATTAAAAAAAAAATTAGCTCCTGCTTAAGATAAGAGGTGTCTACTCTGCATGGATTTTGGTATTGATGCAGGGTTACATGTATGGGTGTGGGAAAGAGAGAAAATGTGATTAATCTGTTGGTATTTAGTCCTCAACTTTTCTCAAGGTTTAACATTTGTAAAAGTAATATTGGGCTTATTATTTGCCCCTTCTGAAAATTCTGCTTAGTTGCCATAAGCCCTGGAATTTTCCTAGTTCTTTCTGTAAGACGAATTTAACCACCTTCTTTTTACACAAAGGTAAAGTCCACCTCCCTACTGACTAATGAGGAACTGGCTGATAAGGAAAAGGGCATTTCTATTGTATCCAATCCTCTCAGGGAGCAGCTGAGTAGAGAAAATGGGGTTTTAATAGATTTATAGGCCAATAATCAGTGAGAAGACTTTGATTCTTACTGATTTCAGAGTCATTTTTTATTTCTTAAGCATGTTGTAAAAAGGAAAGCAAGAGATCCAGGCAGGTCATTCTCCGGGCCCCTGGCAATGAATGTTGCCACCACTGTTCTGGGGTGTGGAGGGAAATGCAAGGAAAGGGGAGCAGAGCCAGCTGTGGCCTGCTGGTTATGGACGGAAAAAGGACTCATCAAAGTGGACAGGCAGGCCATTTTCACAGGCAACAGCAATGTGTCTGAAGCCTGGTGTAGCTCTGTACCGGCAGGGAGGCCGGGGAGACCCTCCTACGTGCCTGCAGGTGGTGATCTGGAAAGGAGACTTGCTTAGTCTTAAAGCTTCTCCGTAAGGGTTTCCATTCTTATTTCCACAGATGGCCTTGATGCTGCCCTTGTTGCCATGAATAAAGGTGTTGGTGTCTTTGCAGGGTGTGGTCAGGCCTCGTCTCTCCATCATGCTTTCACAGTATCTGTCATTCCGGCCCTTTGGTTTGGCGTCATAGTGCTGGGTCAGGAAGTGTTTGTACCTGGAGTCATCCTGAGCCAGGGTTGGCGGGGTCAGACCCAGACCCAGCATGAAGACCAACAACAGGGGGCCCTGGCCCATCACCATCTCTTCCAACAGGGGCTCCTGCCAAGGGCAAAAGGAGGTGTGGTCGGGGCACAGAATGGCATTGCCAGATTAGGCTAAAAGGACAGGGACTTTCCTCTCTGACAGAGCTTCTAGAATCAGGTATCCTCAGTCACCTAAATACATCTTTTCTTTTCCCTTCCTCATTAATCTCAAACGTTTCATCAGTCCATTCCTTTGCAAAGTCGAATTAAAAGTTTCCTGAACACAACTCCCTGCTCCAACCATTCTTTCCTATCCCTTAGGATGGCTATTTACCTTTCTATCAATCACAGCATTACAAAATCCATCCACATTCTTTACTTCACTGATTAACATATTAACAACCTTTATGTAAGTCCCTACTGGGTACCAGACACTGTGCTAGGTCCTGGAACACAAAGACCATCAAGATACACCAAATGCCTCCCTGAAAGAGGATGGTGCATCCAGGGAGAAGGGACGGAGCTCCAATTTCCTGAGATGAGACAGTAAAATAGGAGGCCGAGAGCTATGAAGAAGGGGTACTTAGAGGGAACCCTGAGCCCAAGGAAGGGTCGATCAGAGGACTATTGAAGACAGGATGTCAGATACTCAAGTCAGTTAGTAAGCCGGCTGTGAGGAGAGCAGTTGAGAGCAGTTTTATCCTCAGGAGAAAGGAGGCAGACCTAGTTCCCCAAGAAGTAGGTGTTTCATGGCCAAAGGTGGAATTATGAGGTGCTATTTAGAACGAACAGGGAGGAACATGGAAGAACCCATGTAATGCTTGGAATTGGGTCTGGGTCAACTCTTAGGACTGGAAGAAGAAGAATAAAAGCTTATCCTCAGTTGTTTTATGCATTGGGGACACTTTGAATCATTCTCAGATAACATTTTCTTTTAAAAAAAAATATTTATTTTGAGAGAGAGAGAGAGAGACAGAGAGTCAGAGTCCCAAGCAGGCTCCAAGCCAAAATCAAGAGTGGGACGCTTAACTGACTGAGCCACCCAGGCGCCCCTCAGAGAATATTTTCTAATTTTTCCTGCACGTGTACGCAGACTGTTACACACAGGCAAATGATGTTACCTTGTGATAAAAACAAAAACAAAATAAAAACAACTCCTTAGACACTTTCCCCCCCTTAAACTCTATGGCTCAAACTCACAACCCTGAGATCAAGAGGCCTGCCAGGCACCCCTCCTTAGACTTTTTCAAGTCAAAGGCCTTACGATTTGCTGCAATGATTTCTCAAATTTTTCTCAGAGGAAGAAAAAGGAGAATAGGATCGCCACCATTCTCTCTCAGGAGCTGTCAATCTCAAACCGTAGAACTCACACATCCCAGGGGCGGTGTGTCAGACACTCAAACACACCCACAGGGTAAACAAGGTGCTTTTTACCTGGAACATGATGTTTACTCAGTGATAGATAATTAAAAATAGGATTAGGGATGCCTGGGTGGCTCAGTTGGTTAAGCATCCAACTCTTATTTTGGCTCAGGTCAGGATCTCACAGTTGTGACATCTAGCCATGTCCAGCTGCACACTGGGCATGGAGCCTGTTTAATATTCTTTCTCTCCCTCTCCCTCCAACCCTCTGCTTGCACTCTCTTTCTCTTTCTCTCTCTCAAGAAAAAAAAATAGAATTAAACACGTATAGATGATAACAAAATAGAGAAGAAATTCTTTATGGACTTTTAAGATTGTATTTCTTATGAAATTTGTAGATTTGAGAATTGAAAGATATTTGGTGTTTGCAGCAAGTAGTTTCTGACTATACCTTTAGTTCTTTGGAGAAAACCTTAAAGAGTATTCAGTGCCTTTTAAAACCACCATAGTCCTTGAAAACAATATTACATTATATGTTTACAATCTAGAATTTAAATAAAAATTTGAGGAAAAATATCATCTTGATTCTACATAAGTCAGAAAAAAAAAAAACACCATAGTCCTACACATTATATCAAATACATGTGAATGCCCCATATCCAACAATAAAAAAAATGACTTTTCACTGAATATCTGAAACTGATTTTTATAATTTTGTTTCTCAAATTGTCTGTGAGTAATTAATTTAATTTATGAACAGCTAGGTTTTTTTGGCAATCATCACACATACTGAGAAATTCTCATAATGGGAGAATATTTTGACCTTTGAATTATTCTTGAATGTAATATAATTCTTTTGAATACTAAATTTAATAATAGATGGTATATTATCATAGATATTAAATTAATTATTGATTTTTATGTTGTGCTTTTTTGTGTGTAAGTCAATAAACATTATTTTCATATAAAATTATTTTGGTAGACCTTACAGAGGCAATAGGTCCTAGCAGTAAGCCTGTTGCTAAACAGCCCTGGGAGTATGATCCAGGGTTTTTCTGGTTACATGGAAGGCATGTGACAGAGTAAGCAAAGTGAGCTCTCATTCTCATCAACATTTGGCATTGATCCACCTTGTCTGTTTCATAATAACTATAAACAAATTTGGTACACTGCTGAAAAATACCAGATTAGACACTGAGGAATCTTTTGACCATTCTACAATACTGAAATAACCAGCGGCTGAAAAGGTTTCCATTAAGCACACAGAGTATCATTTGTAATAGAATCAAGTGAAATTGTGTTCTTGGAAGTTTAGCAAGAAAGTGGCACATCATTGCTGGGAGGAGAGCCACTCCTAAAAGAATAACAGGTATTCCTACGTGGTTGCTGCTCCAATACAGTATCTACCAAGTTCTTTACACTTACATTGCGCTTTTCATTCTCCTGGCTGTGTTTTCTTTTTCTAGTTTTTTTTGGAAGACCTCATCAAAGTTTTATTGACTTGTAATCAACTAAGTTTCCTGTTCAGCAATGCCTTCTAACATCAAAGGTATTGTAGAATAACAGTATGTCAAGATAGGAGGGACGTTAGAGACCACACAGTCAACACCTCTCTGCCAGAGAGGGAGAAATCCCAGAGTTAAAAAGAAAAAAAAAAAAAAAAAAAAAAAAAAAAAATCAGGAAGTAGAACCAGAGCTGGTAGTACCCAAAAGAGTCGTTAGGTGGCAGTGGTGGATAGGAATGTTGCCAAGGGTTTCCACGCTGGGGAGGAGACCATGGGTGCTTGTAGGAAGTGCCAGTGTTAACAGGCTGTGGGGATATCACTGCTCACAGAAGGGAGTATGAGCTGGCAGGTCTGCCAAGAGTGTCTGTCCAAACACTCTATGCTTTAGATATTAAGATCAAGGACACTTTACTAGATATAAGTGTTAAAGCAAAAGTCACGAAGCTGATCTGTCCACAAGGATATAATAAAATAAAGGTTATCTCTTGTCAGGTTTCATGGGTGCCATTTCCAAGCCATTATCTATGTGATCTTGGGCCAACAATGACCTGTTTACTTGTCAGTGTTTCCTACTGGTGTGTAATCTATAGGAGGGCAGAGCCGATATTAGTCACCTTGAATCATCACAGTGTCTGCCTCATGGTAGACCCTCAATAATTATGTTTTCAATGGCTGACTTCATTTTCCTCTCCAGGCCTACTGTATTCATCTGTAAAACTTTTAGGGTTGCTAACTCTAAATGCCTCTTTCTCCATGGTTCTCATTAAGCATAAAAGCCTTTTCTAGTTCCATCAGGATGGAATTGCAGAGACAAGTTTGTGTCTAAGTGTAGTTGGTGGCACAAGGCACCACCTGGAAGAAACAGATGATAGGTTGACTGAGACACATCATCTCTTAAGGTTTGGTGTGTAAGCCAAGCCTACAGCCCACCTCTAGTTAAGACATTGGACTGACACGACACAGGAACTTCACATCCTAAAAAACCGCTTGCTTGTTGGAGCTTGAAGGCCCTCATGTCCTAGCCTTAGAGGTTAAGGAATATTTTTGTTTCTGATTTGCAGCATTTGTACATTCATTCTGTAACAACTTAGCTGAGGTTTTCCCAGGTTTACTGCAATCTTAACTCCCTCAGCCACCCAGAAACCAATCCTAGCAAGTATACACTAGGGCCACCAGTAACAACATCTGCTCTCCCACTCATAACTTCCTCACTTATATACTCAATACTAAACTTCCCCTAAAGAGAGGTCAAATGGAATTGGGAGAAAACAAGTAAGAGATTATTTGTGGTGGGGAAGCAAACCTGCCCAGGCCAAGGGTACAGAGATCTGGTGGTCAAATTCATTCACATTTGTCCTTCCACACCCAAGCACATAACCATCACATTTTTCTTACTGGAATCTGTTCCACAATTTGTTTTCTAGATTAACTTTACCTTCTACCTCAAACAATCCTTTAATCTTTACAAAAACTAATATTCTCTCTCCTCACAGGCAATGCTTTGTATTCAAGAGATCTATCAAACTTTATTCACTAGGGAGTTAACTAGACAGTTTATGATCAGTGACTATGGTTACAGCTTCCATAAATATGGTCTCACACTTTTATTTGTCCTAGGGCAATATTCTCCAAAGTGGAAGCAGGACACCTAATGCATATTCCTCCCTTGTCCCCTTTCCTTCCTTCTTCTGTTCAACCTGCAGTGTACCTTTTCTTTTCTTTTCTTTTCTTTTCTTTTCTTTTCTTTTCTTTTTTCTTTTTTATTTTTTTTTTTTTTTTTTTTTTTTTTTTTTTTTTTTTTTTTTTTTTTTTTGCTTTTGCCATGTGTTGTTCTATTGTGCTTTCAAAGAGACCCAAAACTTTCTTAAGGAAAGAATTAGCAGGAAAGATTACAAGAAAACCAAGGTAAAAGTATACTTTCTGTTTCTTTCCTTGTTAAGCCACATATGACATCAGGGCGGAGGGGTGGGGGTCCAGATACCCTTCAGCAAATGCTTTTCCCAGATCTGTGGGGACTTTATCACAATTTAGGAATCCCTTCTAAATCTCTACTTGTTCCCAGTATCACTAATTTCCTTTTATTTCTACATTTAGGCTAGCCCAGAAGAAATCTGTTTGCATTTTACATTTTAGAATCTGACTTATTTCCTTCTTAATTCGTGAACTTGGACCAAGAGTTTTTAAAAGGGAA